AAACATTTCTTTCTTCCCTGATTGACTGTTTATTCCAGTACCCTAAGTGAATGTTCCAAAAATTTTCTTCTCTCCTCAATCTCCCAAAGCCACTTCGTATCTCACTGCTTTCAGCAGATGGTCATGAGATCCCATCTTCCCTACTCCATACCTTATCATGGTACCATGTAAAGTGAACTTGCTCTGGATTCAGTGGTTGTTCAGTCCTTTTTTTCAGTCATGTCTGACTCTTCCTGACCACAATGTTTTTGTTTGTTTGTTTGTTTGTTTGTTTTTTGGCAGAGACACTGGAGTGGTTTGCCATTTCCTTCTCCAGCTTGTTCTACAGATGAGGAACAGAGGCAAACAGGGGTAAGTGATTTGTCCAGGTTCACAAAGCTAGTAAGTGTCTGAGGTCAGATTTAAACTCAAGAAGATGAGTCTTCCTGCCTTTAGGACTGATGCTGAGGCTTCTGTGCCTCCTAGCTGCTGCACTGGAATTCAGTGGACAGGTATTAAAATCCTATCTCTGATTCTTACTTAGCTGTGTGACCTTGGTCAAGTCATTTACCCTCTCTCACTCTCAATACACTCACCAATCAATTGAAATGGTTGAACTATATGGCTTCTGAGTTCCTTCTCAGTTTTAATTTTTTTCATTTTTTAAATTTTATTCAGTATATATATATTTTTTTCTTCTTTGCTATATGACAAAGAGATGCCCTTTCTCTTTGACATGGCCAATTTCTACTTGTGCCTTTGATCTTGTCTCTTCCTGTCTTCTTGAGGACCATGTCACACTTATTATTCCCTCTGCCTTCTCTCTCACACACATTTGACCTACCTATTCCTTCGCTGCTCCTTATAAATATATTCATGTTTATGTTATCATTAAAAATCCTTCATTTTCCCCATCATCCCTTCATGGTGCCATCTCATGGCTATTTGTCTTCCTTTTCACTGCCAACCTTCTAGAATGAATATCTACACACAATGCCCACATTTCCATCCTATTCATCTACTTCTCAATTTTTTGCAGTGTAGCTTCCAATCTTACTACCTGATCTTCATTGCCACTGATGACCTCTTAATTGCTCCTTCTGAAGGCCTTTTCTTAGTCCTCTTCTTCTTTGAGTGTTTTGACATTACTGCTTCCTATCCTGAATATTCTATTCTTCTTTGGCCTCTGTAACACAATGCTATGCTGCCTCTCCACTTACTTGCCTGACTATTCCTTCTCAGGTTTATCATCTATCTCTTCTTTCTTATTTGTGGGCATACCTCCAGATTCTGGCCTTCACCCTCTTCACTCTTTTCTTTCTATTCTCTTGATTATCCCATTTGCTCCCATGGCTTCACCCTTCATATGACTAGCACACATCAGTATATCAAGCCCTAGTCTTTTTTTCCTGAACTCTTGTTTGGTTTCATCAACTGCACCTGTTCTTGAGGGCTTACTATGTCAATGCTGGGCTAAGTGTGGACACATGATCAGTTTAGACTACCATAGCAAAGTTCCTGAGCTCAAGATATCCCACCCAAGAGATCTTGCTACCTCCCAGACAGCCAGGAGTATAGGCCTGTGCCTCTACACCTAGCACTGTATTATCTTCTATCAGTTATTATATTAAGGCTATATCACCCCCTTCTGACTTCCCCGACCCTTTAAAATAGAATGAATGTAAAATCTCTCAGGTGAAGAATTGTTTTCTTTCATGGGGTTTATTAAGCACATAGTATAATAAATTCTTGTTGAATTAATAACACAATTGACATTCACTAGAAAAATAATACACGGAATTATAGATTTATAACTGGAAGAGACCTTAGAGGTTAATGAACAAACCATTGTCCTCATTTAACAGATGAAGAAACTGAGACTCAAAGGAGTTAAGCAGCTTGCTATAGCTTATAATGTAAGTGTAAAATCTGAACTCAGATCTTATTGATTCTAAGTCCAGCACTCTCTAAACCGTAATTGGTGGCTAGTATTTCAGTGAAATGCTACTTGTATTGAATTGGTTTGTTTATTATGGTGATGATTCTTTGAAAGTAATATCATTTGTAGGCATGTATTAGTTGATGATAAGCATGGAGGGTGTTTTCAGTTTGATTCATCATAGATCCATAAACCTATTGGGCCAGCTTTGCCTGAGGTTTTAAAACAGAACTCTAAGATCTTTGCAAGTTCAGAAACCAGCATTGCTATTATAAGAATTCTGATATTGAGACATTCTTGCTAGATGTTAAACCTGTGATTTTTTATCCCTTAGAGAGTAAGAGAAAAAATAAGCACTCTTCTAATTTTCTTTTTTTTTGGGGTGGTGCACTGAATAAACAAAACAAAACAAGCAAACAAACAAAAAAACCTTCCAGGGCAATGAAAAGGTTTCTCATGGAGATTTCAGTGAGAAAGCAGAGATACGAATTCCAAGAGGAGAAAGTATTAAAGGGTTATCATCTGCACTGTGAGGAGAAACTCAGAATAATGTAATCATGGATGAATCAGTAATCCAAGTGCCAGGACTGAGAAGACTACTCATTGGATTTTTTTAACTTTGTTAAATTGATTCTTCCATTGAAATGATCTAGGCATTATAATTCTAAATAAATGATAAAATGATGACAAATTGCTTTAAAAGAAGATTCTGCTGATGTATTTTTCCTCCTATTTATAAATATATATATATATATATATATACACATACATATATATATATATATATATATATATATATATATATATATATATATAATAAATTTAACTTTGGATACTTCTCTGACTGTTAAAAAAAAATCCTTAAAATGTCTGATTAACTGCAATTTTCTATTTCTCTTGCTTCACTTCTTGTTCATCTGACCACTACATTAAATGCATGCATATATGTTGACCAATTCTACATTAATTGTAGGTATATGTAGAGTTATATCCTTGTTCTGTCAATTACAAAGAAAACACTGATGCTTATTTAACAGATTTTTCTTTTTGGTGGTATGGTTTATACTGTTCAGTAAGGCCATGAAGCAGTATTGGGAGGCTGACTGCATTTTTTTTTAATAATTTGGAGATGGGTGAGTTTCCATCAACTACAAATTTCTCATTAACACATTTCATCCTATACTCTTTTCCTCAGTTAAAAATATACTTGTATCATTTTTTTTTAGCATTAAGAGGGAATCAGTATAGACGCTACTCATCACCACTGATGTTGCTAATCTTCAATAACAAAATGAATATCAATGAGTTTTTTTTTTCTTTATTATTCAAGGCTTCTAAGTTATAGGAACTCTAAAGCTAAATTCTCTGGTTACATACAGCACTGAGCATGGCAAAGGTGGTGTGCACTGTTCTGTGAGACTATATCACCGAAATTTTTTTTCTTTTGATGGTGTTATCAGCATTATTCTTCTGGTCAGGGAATATTGCATTCACTGCTGTCATGAATATCAGTCAATTATAGCTTAGGTTATAAGGTACAAGAGGCTAGGCTATATCAAGCACTCACTCTCTCTTAGAGGCTGCAATGTACTTCCTTAGTGGTTCCCTTGAATCAAAGAAACTAAATATACCTTTTAGTTATTTTGTCTGTATAGACCATATGTTAAGTAGTAAAAATATTAAGAGAAATGAAAGAATTCAGTAATGCCTTTTAACTACATATACTAGGTAAAAAAATCAGTTCTTACATTCAAATCTTTTTAACACATAATAAACACATCACATATAAATATTTTGAAGGCAAAATATATTTTGGTTTTATTGGCAAGTATATTTAAAAGTATATTTTTTAATTAGACATTTAAAAAATTATTTGAGACATTCGTAAGCTTGGTTTTCAATGTGCTTTTAGGTGACAAACACTTTCAAAAGTCCTAGAAATTTACAGATGTGTTCTACCAACTGAACAGATCAGCACTCCATTGATGATTTTTGATTTTAGAAATGAATTTTCCAAATTATTTTGGTTTAAAAGGAATGGGATTATGTTTCCAAGACTGTGTTGCTCATTTCTTAAGAAAATATCAAATTTCACAGGCAATTTAGTCCTTAATGACAATGCATTTTTTGATGTTTATTAAATTAAAGGACTTGAGATAGCCAGGAAATGAATGCTAAAAAGAATGACTTATACATTTGTGCTAAAACTAATTATTCTTTAAATGTTTAAAGCATCTGTTCAATTTACATTTAGGCGAAGGCCTCTAAAAGCATTTTAAATCCTTGTCAAGGATTTAAGCTATAAAAGAATACTCTTTGTAGCCAAGTAGGCAAAAGAGTCGTACTATAAAATAGAGGAAAGACAAAAAACCCCTACATCACAGAGAGAAAAAAGGTATGCCACTTAAAGGGCCTTTTTTGTATCACCACAATGTTGGACATGAGACTTATGAGTTTTTGGTGTGTATAGCATGGATAGTTAAGGTATCAGAATCCAAACCTTTGACACTCAGGAACAGAAATGCTCTGCAAATGAACTTAAAAGAATTGACAAAAGCATGTAGACTGCTAACTTTCACCCTAAAATTTTATGTTCAAACTGTACATGTGTCCCAATTTGAAAATAGAATGTAAGCTAGATTTTACTTTAGCCATCAAGGAAGTCACTTTCCTTTTTGAACTCCATTCCTACACCAGAGACATTTGAGCAAGTAGAAATATCTAGTTCCAGTTCAACACTCTTCTGAGGTGGAAGGGAAGAATGCCCAACCTCTGAATACTCCTGGTGATTGCCTGTCTCTTTCTAACCCCTTCCACTTACCATGTACCCCCAGCTAGCTTACTCTTACCTCAGACATAGCCTTTGGTCTTTTTCTCTCCATAGAAGTGGGCCAGATTCCATAGATTTATCCATGTCACCCTCAATCTATTGACAGTTAGCCAACTCTTACAGACGTGCACATCTTTATAAACACATACTTATAACACTTTTTTAAATACACATTTATAATGATCTGGGTGAAATTCATCTTTGAAAAAAATCCAACTATGAAATGTCATAAGAATAAAGAAGTATAATTACCTGTTCATTTATCTGTTTTCTAAGTTCACAGTTTTCTTAAACAGGAGCACACCTGTATTTGACAAAGATTATAAAATATTGTCAGTTATATTTTACCCATTAGGATAAATTAAGCATCACTTATTATTATTATTTTTTCCCACAACATTCCAGGTCACGGTTCTTAAGTGTGTATTTGTGTGTGTGTGTGTGTGTGTGTGTGTGTGTGTATGTGATGAACCCTTTTGTAGTATGGTAAAGCCTGTGGACCACTTCTCAGAATAATGTTTTCAAATGCATAAAATACATAGGATTGTAAAGGATTCCAGTTAATTAATATTATGGTATCAAAGTATATAAAATAAGTTTATGGGCTTTTAGAATCATTGCTCTAAGTTCTGTCTGGTGCCCATGAAATTTCTTCACATTTAATTAGGCTCGAAAGCAGAAAACGTGAATGGTATGAAATAATTTCACATATTATTCTTTCAGGGCTCTTAGGACAAAACTCTTCAAACATTTCACAGGAAGATTTCTTTCTTTCTTTCTTTTTTCCTTTCTTTTTTTTTCCTTAAACCTCAGAACTTGAGATTGAAAATCAGATTTGAGAATGGTAATGGTAATGATGTCTGGGAGGATCCTCATAATTCACTTGGCTTTCCAGGAAGGAAGAGTCATGAAGAAGTAGCTGCCAAACACACCTCCCTCTACACTGGTAATTGCTATGGGTTGTCAGGGAGGTGATAGAATAGTAATCACAATTCTTCTTTCAATCAGGTTGGTCTCCTTGACTAACTGGTTAAAATTCTTGTACTTTTGGTTGAAAAGAGGCTTCATTAAAAACTTCAATTTGCTATCAGGGGTGATAAAGCCAACTAGAAAATACAATTAATTCTTTGGTAATGCTTAACTGTAATGATGTTTTGGGGAAAATAAGGCACATTTAGGGAAAAGTGGATGAATGTAGTCAGATGTTGATGTATTTAAAACAGCTGAGCACATACTTATACTGTAGTCAGCACATGGCCCCTAATCTGGTTAATCTTATTTTGCACAAATTACATTTGAGAACATCAAAATGTAAAACGAGGCAATTATACTTAATGACCTCAAAGGTTCCCTTTCAGCTCAAAAATCTATGGTCTCATGGTAATGGAAACTTTAATTCATGGAGTATTAAAGCTTTAGGACTGGCTAAACAAAGGAAGATAATCTCGTCCAACTCCTGTACTTTGTAGATGAGGAAACTAAAGACCAGAGAAAAGTGATTTGTTCAAGGTCAAACAGACTTTCAAGTAATAATGCCAGGATTCAAACCCAGTTACTCAGACTCCAAATCCCATTCTTTTCCCATTGCACCAGGGTTTAAGGCCCCATTATGTTGCATGTGGCAGAAAATCCTCCCTTATTCTTTCTGTTGAATTTGACTTCACTTATCAGTTCACCAAATCCACAGTGGAAGGATAGAGCTACAAATAAATTATCAACCAAGTCAAGAATTTCAACAAAATCTTTTGGGAACAGACATGTTTTGAGTAAATCAACCAATGGATGGATTAAATTTTTCGTCCTTTAAACTGTTGCTGAGATATTGTATGAATATAGCCTACCTTAGATAAGGCTGCCAAGAAAAGTTTTTGGGAAAAAATTTGGAGGCCAAAATCAGTTTAAAATGTAGCTAAAAACAAACCCTGAGCAGCTGGGTGGCCCAGAATGCCAGGCCTGGAGTTGGGAAGACCAGAGTTCAAATATAGCCTCAGACACCTACTGGCTGTGTGACCCTGGGAAAGTCACTTATCCCTATTTGCCTCAGTTTCCTCATCTATCAAATGAGCTCAAGAAGGAAATAGCAAACCACCGCAGTATCTTTGCCGAGAACACCTCAAATGGAGTCAAGAGGAGTCAGACATGACCAAAAGGAATAAACAACAAAAACAAATTATCATCTATATTGTTGGCCCCATAAATACTCTGTGGCTAGAAATGACATTCTTTTGGTAACAAACAAGGCTTAAAACCAGGTATGCATTTACTAGAACATGGAATGTATGATGTTATTCATAATGTGATTTTCAATTATGCAGCACTCAAAGAAACTTTTAAAAAATTTATTTCATAATGTCAAAAATGTAGAATTGTGCACATAAAGCTCATACCATCTTAATATTTTGGCACAGTACTAGAAAAGAGTTCAATAAATCAAACTCCTTCTTGTAACTGACATTTATGGGTCTCTGTCATATATTTCTTTAATATCCTACCTAAACACTAGAGCAGATGAAATACGTATAGAAATACAATCATCAATGACAATGGTGTGTGTGTGTGTGGGGGATGATAGCACTTAAATATCTAGTTTCAAAACATTAACAATAATAGATAGTTTAAAAATTAATGGAAGTTATACTGATTTGTAATTTGGATTAAAATGTGAATTCAGGTTGATGTTATATCTGTTTAGTAACCTGGGAGGAGTTGAAGGAATATATATATATATTTTAGACTAGCATACATACTGGGTTCATTTTACAGTACAATGGTAGTTTTCAAATTTATTCCTGAACTGTTAATGAACATTTGACTAATAAAGCATTGTGGATTAATAATGGTATAGCATGCATAATTGTTAGGGCAATTTCAGCCTACTTAGGGCCCACATTGTTAAATCATAGCTTACTCTCAACCCAGCCATTCAAGGTATAGTACCATGTTGCAGTCATTTCTACTTAAATGATACCTAAAGAATACCAAGAGCTAGCTGTGAAGAATTAGTACTTTATTATAGATCTCCAAGCCTGCTTATTATATAAGATCCAAATAAGCAGATACCTCAGGAAGGGCCCACTGAATAATTAAGCAATAAAGCTGAGTGGGGGATATGGATATCAACATGTAATCATATACTCAGGGAGTTGTACAGCACAAGGCAGGATGTCTAATCCCTCAGAAGTGTGATTATTTCATGGAAACCACACCCCACTGAGCTGCCTTATTGCTGTTGTAAAAAAAGTATTTATTATAGGAAGTTCTTTTGTGCTGTAAGAAGATGAATTCCACCCTTCAGAATGTTAAAGAGCAGTTTCACTGGAGCTGTGGAGTTCACACAGATTAATTTACCCCTTTAGAATATTCATGAATCAATCAGAATGCTCTCTAAGCCTATGCAATTTTACCATTGTAAAATAAACTAGGTACATTCTGATGAAACAATCTACTCCTTGCAAGTGCTTTCATTAATTTTCTTTAAAGTATTTTATGGATCTGGCTCCTATCAAAGAGCATCTCAGCAGCCAATACAGGCTCAATCCACCAGGGTAAAACAGGGGCATTACTGAAACTGGGTACCAGAGACAAAGCAGAAAACAACTAATGTGGTACTAGCGTATTACTAATGCAAACTGAATGCACACGGTTTAATGATAATTGTGTATTAACACGAGAACTGGGGATTATAAACGGCATCATGTAGAGTTAGACTGAGTAAATCACTTATTCATTGGCTCTCTACTTTTATTTTCTCAATGTCCATTTCTTACCCCTCCTCCTGCTACTCCATACCCATGTGCAATGGCTTTCTGCTTCCATGAGTGAAATGAATGCTCATATTCAGGCACTGATGACTGTAATGGCAACAGCAAGCTCCACAAGCATAAAGACTAAAGTAACAAATGCCTCTCAATGAACCTGCATAGTTCCTTTTCCATTAGCAGATTTAGCTGATTCTGCACTCTGTCCAAACAGTAAAATGGATTCAAACTGGTCAATTCCAGTTGAATTGCATTGTTGAGCCCTGAACTTAATATCTGACTAGCTGTTTAACTTCTTTAAACCTCAGTTCTCTCATCTATAAAATGGGAATTACAGCAGTTCTTATGGTATAGGATTATGTGGGTCAAAAGGTATGTGAAAAGTATCTTACAATCATTAAATCATTGTTTAAATGGTGAGCTGTTGCTGTTTTGTTATTTTTTCTCTTTCTTGTCTTATTTTAAAATTCCATCAAATTGTAAGTTCCTGGAGGGCAGGGACTGTCTTTTGCCTTTTTATTTATGTATTTATTTTTAATCTCCAGCACTTAGAACAGTGCCTGGAACATAGTAGGCAATAAATAAATATTTATTGAATTACATTTATTGAATAGTGCTTAGATTAAAAACAGTCCTTGGACAGCTTCTTATCCTGCTGCTGTTCTTTTAAGTTTAATGTTTTCGAACCTGTTGTGTAGTTGGATACATGACTGATTATTGTATTGCAATTAGAAATCAAAGGAGTTAGATTTAAATCCCATCTTTGACACTTAATGAATATACCTCTGGGCAAGCCTCTTCATCTCTCTCTGGCCCTCAGTTTTAACCATCTTTAAGACATGGGAATTGGACCTTAAGGTCTCTTCTACTTTTAAATCTATGATACTCTGAGTCCATGGTATAGAAGTAGAAAACGGTATATTTGGTTTTCAACTGACGGCTACAGTTTGGGTAGAAAGCTTCAGACATCTACCTATTCTTCTGGTTTTTAAATTGGCTTTTTTTCCTCCTCATATATTCTAATTTTAACTTTATACACACAAAATCTGCTCAAGAAGAAATATAAAGCTGTGTCTTATGAGACTGTGACCTTCAGCAGGGAACAGCTATTAATTAGGGCAAATTAATTAATTAAGGCCATGTTTACACTTTTATTGTCAAGACAAAACAGCTGTGGGTGTTAAACTGAAATCTCCTTAACTTGCTACAGTCATTAATACCTATCAGTAAGAGGGACTGCACTTGAATTTCAAAAGAGTGTGTCAATAGATTGTCTGAATTTTACTAAAGGAGTCTTCTATCTTCAGTCAATATTTTACAGGAAGACAGTTCTTAGAGAGCTAATAATTGATTGTCCACAAACTACAAATAGGACTCTACTTAAGGAACTTGCTACTCTCTTATGTTAGCTTATGACTCATGTTAGCTCAAATGTCATAATGGTTTCCAGACCTGTAATCTAATTTGACATTTTTGACATACTTCTTGAAGTCTGTGAAAAATACAAGCAGCACATTCCCAAACCTAAAGCAAGACAAAAATATCT